ATGGCTGGATGATCAGAACTCAAGTAGAAGAAAGAAGAGGGTAGAAAAAAAAAAAGAGTAGCTTGCTACAATTTGATGAACTTTACCAATACTTATGGATGTAGAAGTTCAAAAACGAGAACAAATCTTTACAGTGTGGATCACTCCCACCCCCTTGGTACCCAGGGTTGACAGGGATTGGCACCGTAGACATTGGCTATCCAAAATGGAGAGGCCTATAAATGCAAGAAGTGACTAGCTTACAAGCTTTTAAGAGGGAGCCTAGTTCCAGACAGGGCGGGGGAGGGTAGAATCACCACTGAATGATTTCCAATCGGTTGGCACCGAGCTGATGAAAGAAAATCGGATGAAACTCTTGTGGTACAGTAGTGAATAATTGCCATCAGGACTGACTTTGAGGGTAGGAAATGTAAAGATAGGTGTTTTTTGACAAAAGGAGGGGTGTGATTGATTTTGATTTTTCATTCCAGCTTTCCCTGAACCCTTTGAAGCCCTCTCATGCTTATTACAGAGATGTGTGAGCTCAATCATAGACCCTACCAGATCAGGAGAACTTATCTTTAATGTCTTCTGCACATCCTCTGTTGTTATCTTCTAACTAAATTAGTAGTCATTCTTACTAACAAATTGTGAGTTTTTTGGTTCCTTATTAATACTATGTTTTAACTTAAGGTCTAAATAGATAATTTGGACTATTAGTAAAACTGTTTTTTTTTCCCTGATTGACCATGCATGTGTACTCTATTTCATGAATTATTGTTGTTGTTGTTAAGTGCCGTCGAGTCGGTTCCGACTCATAGCGACCCTGTACAGGGTTTCCGAGGGTATAAATCTTTACGGGAGTAGAAAGCCTCATCTTTCTCCCGCGGAACGGCTGGTAGTTTCGAACCGCTGACCTTAAGGTCCGCAGCCCGATTCGTAACCACTACGCTACCAGAGCTCCTTTCATGAATTATTAATTAAGCTAAAATACATATTAGTTCCATGTTTCTCTCTCTTTGACTTTGGTATGTATTTTTTATGTGATTACTGTCAGGCAGATGGCAAGCCTGTCCTATTGTATACTTTTTATGATACTTCTGGACAGATCAAGATAAGTAATAGCATCAGATGGTCTTGATTTGGTAATATATGTCATTAAATAGTTTTTGAAAAATTTGGCTTGCATAATCTGTGAATTAAAAAATGATAAGTTTTCATTATGTGTTATATAAGGAGACCTGATTTTTAAGATTATTCTTATTTAAATATTAATCCTGAAAATATTAATGTTGACATAATTAGTTAATCAAAACTTTATACTTGATTCCATAGGAGGTACATTCAAATTGGATCAATACAGGTCGTATTGGACCTGTATTAAAATTTAAAAATGAGTATTGCTCTCATTCATGAATATTCAAATTTATTTAGTATTTCATTATATATTTTGGTATGTTTATTTGAAAGGGTCATTCCTGTTCCTTATTCATTAGACTTCCTTTAAATAATTTCAGAAATTTACCTTGCTAACATGCTTTTGTGGTATTATTGTTTGAATCTATTTGCTGTTTATTTTTGCTTTTTATTTTTCTGCTTTGAAGGCAAGCAAGCCCATTTCAACTGAGAGTGAAATAGACTCTTATTAAGTTATAATTTTAGCCCAGGTATTAAGAACGTACTTCTACATTTATTGCTGTGCCAATCACAATTATTTAAGAATAAAGATATTAAAAGTATCAAGAGTAAGGAGACAAGGAGTCAGTCAGTTACTTTCCTATATAATGTGTTCTCTAGGCCCACCACTGAAAAAGGTTGGGACATCTGTTTTTCACTTTTTGGATATCTGATACTTTCCTAGTCTCTCAATAATTAGGCAGTAATTTTTCTCTTAATTTTAAAAGGGGAAAGAAAGAAAATCTTATTATGAAATATCTTTTACAAATCAATTTATGAGAATCCTTTTACAAACTCTTTTTTTCTACTTGGAGTCAGCCCTTCAAGGTAATAATATTGGATTTATTCTTTCAGAATATAAAAGGAGCCTAATTGTTGCATATTAATTTATTTAATGTAAGTATTTAAGTAGTATATAAATATATATGTATATGAACTCATAATTTAGCTGTTTCTTCTTTCTTTGTAGATGGTTTAGCTGCATTGTCTTTTTCCATTAGTTCTCTTACCTTGATTGGAATGTTGGCAGCTATTACTTACACAGTAAGTGACTAACTGTAATAATTGCTTTTAAATAAGAAAAGTAGTTCATGAAGCAATTTTATTTTCTTTTACCTTAGTCATGTCTGTTTCCTTGTTTAAGTGTAGACTTTCCTCTCCCGTTTCTTTTTTTTTTTTTTAATACTTAAAGAGGAGGGTAAGTTTTTAACAACTGAGTCACAATCACTTATCTTTCTAAATGAAATGAAATGAAATCTTCAGAGACATTTTATGACTTGTGAATCTTGAAAGTTATATTATGCAATGCTGGATTCAGTGATTTATAAGCATATTAGAACTCTGAACCATAGATCTATGTTGGTTACTGATTTAGTAGGTCTATCCTACTTGGAATGTGTTATTATTTTTAAGTTCCATCAAGTTGATCCTGTATAGGGTTTCGGAAGCTTTGTAAAAAAAAAAAAAATTGTTTGTGGGAGCAGAAAACCTCATTTTTCCCTCATGGAGTGGCTGGTGGGCTCAAACTGCCAACCTTGTGGTTCGTGGTCCAGTGTTTAACTTGAGGAGCCACTATGCTCTCATTTGGGGGCTATGCAGCTTTTTAAAATAAGTTATTTTACATAACTTGATACTTCTTTAGCATCTAATCCTGTATTCTCAGAAACCGATTTTGTTTTGTCTATTTTTTTCTGTAAGTGTAAGATAAGAATTATAAATGTCTGACCAATTTGTATATGGATGGTTCGTTAAGTCTTTTTTTCATAATATTGAAGAAGAAGCCATTAATATTTTTTCCTACTGCTTATGAGAGAGTTATGTCAGAAGCCTTAAAATTATCTGTGGAACTTCTTTTTGATTGATGGAGTTTACATTAGTATTCTTGGTTCTTGCAAAAAGGGAAAATACTGTTTGCAAAGGAAACATTTTTTGATTTTGTTCTAGTTTATCTTCCTTTTTATACCAAAGAAATGAGCTATTAATACATTAGAAGATTCTATTTTTTGTTACATGATCATTCAAATGTTATGCTACATAATAAAAGATGTCTACAATATAGATGCATTTGACTATCTTTAGGTACTTATTTGGGTACTCAGTTTTCAATTGTCATTTTTGTTTTGTTTTTTCATTTGTTACCATATAAGGTATTTGCTATCAGATATCAATGAGTGATTATCTTCCTGTCTCGTAAAATATATGTAGAGCTTGTTAGTTATTAATCTTTTATGAAGAAGTCATACAAGGTAATAACAAATTAGTAGTTCTTTAGGATTCTAGTGGTATTTTGTAACTGATTTATTATATTATTCTTAGATTTTCTTTATAACTTTCCTCAGGCAGTGCTATTTCTATTAAATGGGGGTGGTGCTGTGGGATAAGGCACTGAACTGCAAGGTCGATTTGAACCACAAGGTCAGCAGTTCAAATTCACCAGCTGCTCCTTGGAAATCCTATACAGGATCGCTATGAGTCAGAGCCAACTCGATGTCACTTTAACAACAACAGTAATTAAAAATGAACTTCCCCATAAAACAATATTATTGTAAAGAAGGCTTTTAAGTTAAAAAAGTTAATTAGTGTATTATTTACACTGAAACTTTAAAAATTGTTAATTAAATAATCATTTAAACCAAATATAATTATCATACTGACTTACTTAGCATATTCTTAGAAGAGCATTACGCTGCTAGAGGATAGTTGGTTGGGCTAACGGTCAGAGTTGTGTATGATGGGGACTGATGCTGGAGATCAGAAAGACATGGTAGAGAGACTGAATAGGCAGGAGGTACCTCATAAGGCTTAAGATCAAGGGAGATAGCACAGCAAGATCATACTACCAGTAATTCTACTAATCTATTTTCTTTAAGTAGCAGAAGCAATATAATCATGGTCTTTGGTTGTTTGTGTTGTTAAGTGCCATTGCATTGTTATGACTCATAGCAACCCTACATGGAGTTTCTGAGGCTGTAAATCTTTACAGAAGTAGACAGTCTCATCTTTCTCCTGTGGCTTGCAGTTCAGAACTTATCCTACAAAGCCACTGCTACTCCATGGTTCTTGGTTGTGATTGTTAAGTGCCATTGAGTCACTTTTGATTCATAGTGTCCATGTATAGGGTTTCCAAGGAGCGACTGGTGAGTTTGAACCACCAACCTTGCAGTTAGCATCCCATTGCTTTTCCTATAGTGCCACACCAGTTCTTGGTAGTTGTGCTTATTGTTATGTGCCATGGATTTGGTTCTGACTCATAGTGAACCTGGACAGTGTTTCTGAGGCTATAAATCTTTACGGGAGCAGAAAGCCTCATCTTTCTCCTGCGGAACAGCTGTTAGTTGTGAGATCAGCAGCCCGATTCATAACCACTACACTACCAGAGCTCCTTACTTTGGCTTACTTTATCGTGTAAATTTCTTCATCTCTAAAGTGGACATAATATGTAAGTAATAGGGTAATAAGGATTTAATAAAATAATCCACTAAACCTTAGACTCTTATTGGCCACTCAGTAAATAATCACTGTTAATTCAAACAGATGAGTATTCCATTTTATATGGTTTATGCTATAATTCCTGCCTCTTTCATCTCACAGTGAAAATGAACCAGATGCTAAAAGCAACTGAATTATGACTAGTGAAAATATAGCTTATTTACGTAAGTAAGTTAAAGAGACATTCACAGTTGGTTGGATGAGGGTGTGTAGATAAACAAATAAGCATCATTTACATAAAACAATGAGATATGCTCAGAGCTCAGTGAGATAATCTGTTTTTCTACTAAACCACAATCTGGTCAATTTTACTACCTAACTAGTGTTTAGAAGGAAGAATAGTAGATTAGAACAGACCTGTTATAAGGTAACATGATATGGGTCCTAGTGTGTCACTGTAGAATAAACACTGGACTACTAACCATAGCGTAGTGGTTACGAATCGGGCTGCGATCCTTAAGGTCATCAGTTTGAAATTACCAGCTGTTCTGCGGGAGAAAGATGAAGCTTTCTGCTCCTATAAAGATTTACAGCCTAGGAAACCCTGTACAGGGTCGCTATGAGTCAGAACTGACTCCACGGCACATAACAACAACAACTAACCATAAGGAGTCCTGGTGTGGTGCTATGGGCTAATGCGTCAGACTGCAAAGTCGTTTGAACTGCAAAGTTGGTGGTTGCTGCTTGGAAACCCTATACAGTGTCGCAATGGATTGGAATCGACTCAACAGCACTTAACAACAACAACTAACCACAATGTTGGTGGTTCAAACCCACCAGCCATTCCTCAAAAACCCTATAGTCTCTATGAGTGAGAACCAACCTGAAGACACATAACAACAACAACAGTTCTATGTAGCCAAACTTTAGTTGTGAATATAGATTTTGTGTAAAATCTAGTATCTGAACCTGGCTGTAAAACGGCATCAGACCGGCCAACTGCAGGGACAGAAATGGCAGTCACCCTCAGTGTTTGGCTAACTCCTCTAAAGCGAAGGTCAAATATACCGCCACTCTTAAAACTTCTTCTTTTTTTTTTTTACCACTTCTCATGTTAGCTGTCTTTCCTTGCTGGGTTTGGTAGTGTATTGCAGTGGCCACACAGAATTCACAGACCACAGTCAGGATTATGGGATTTATTAAGGAAGTAATAGTTTACAACTCAGGATCAGGAGCAACTCAGAAGTACCTAGAATAATTCAGAATATAGATCTTCAATCAGGACAGCTTCTTCTTAGTCGTGCCTACATGCAGACGCTGGCTGCCAGGTCCTGCTCAGGCACCTGTTACAGAGCTTTCTTTAGCTCTGCTGATAACTGCCCAGAGACACCTCATTCCACCAGAAAGCCTCCTGCCCAAAAGAGATAACATGTTGTAAATGTTAAAACTTAAACTCTTAAAATTTTAGTCCTATTGAGATAATAGAAGAGATGTCACCAGGCTTAGCTCACAAAAATTTAATGCAAATTTGACATATTTGAAAGTCTCCATTTTGATGTAAACCATATTCTATACCATATTCAGTAAAATAAACAATTTAATTTACATTCAGTCAAGTAAAATGAATACTTTAGGAAAAAGAATTATGTCCCAATGTAAGAGACACAAAACTAGGTGCTAATGGTGCTATGGGTTAATGCACCAGACTGCAAAGCCATTTGAACTGCCAAGGTTGGCAGTTCAAGCTCACCAGCTGCTTCTTGGAAACCCTATACAGGATCGCTATGGGTCGGAACCGACTCGACGACACTTAACAGCAACCACAACAATATCATGCAGTAAATCTCTCGTGAAAGTATCATGTTCTGTTTTATGGTTATTTGTTTACATAGCGCCGAAACCCCACTAGAGAGTTAGTATCTTGTGGGCTAATGACACTTCCTTACTAGTATTTATAAGATGCTTTGTTTTTAGTATTCTACCTTGTGTAGCGTAGTGGTTACGAGTTGGGCTGCCAACCTCAAGATCAGCAGTTCGAAACTACCAGTGGTTCCGTGGGAGGATGATTAGGCGTTCTGCTTCCGTAAAGATTTACAGCCTCGGAAACCCTGTGCAGGGTCACTATGAGTCAGAACCGACTCTGCGGTATTTAACAACAACAATAACCTTGCGCCTTATAAGTATATACTAGATAATTGATTGAATTTTTAAGTGTTAAGTGCTAGTACCCCTAAATATTTCAGAATTTTTGAGATCTTCAAATGCTTATTAGTAGTTGCTCTTGATTAATAAGTGTACATCTGTTATGTCAGACTCAAACTTTTGCTTTATCATCCTTATATACAATATATATAAATGGAATAAAGTTGGAGGTAGGATTTACAATAAGGGAAAAGACAAGAATGTATTTGGCCTAATGATACTGTCCATAGGATAGTGCTCTATAACTAATAAATAATGACTAATAATGTAGTCCTGGTGTGGTGCTGTTTGATAAGCACTGGACCTTAAGGTTTGAACTGCATGGCTGGCAGTTCAAACCCACCAGCCACCCTTTAAGTCAGAACCAACTTGATAGCACTTAAAAACAACAACAATCCTATAGTATAAAACTA